AGGGCCGCTCTGACCCCCCCTCCCGGCTCGCCGCTTCCCTTCCAAGCGGCGGCGGCAGCCTCGGTCGCAGAGCGTTCCGTGCACATGCGCACGGAACGCTCTGGCACTTTTGGGGGGATTTAAACATCCCCCGAAATTTTTGTCACCATTTAGGATTTTTGTGCACACGTGGGGACTGCCCCATGTGTGCACAAACCTCTCCCTCCCCCCCAAGTGCCCCCGATGTCCAGATTTAAGGATTCGCACAGAGGGGGCCAGTTCACTATTAGATATATAGATATGGAGCAGAGGTCCATTGGTGGCGATTAGCCACAAGGCATAGATAGGGACTCTGGGGCAAGTGATGCTCTGTATTCCTGTTGCTTGGGGGGGAGCAACAGTGGGAAGGCTTCTAGTGTCCTGGCCCCACTGCTGGACCTCCTGATGGCACCTGGTATTTTTGGCCACTGTGTGACAGAGTGTTGGACTGGATGGGCTACTGGCCTGATCCAAGATTGGCTTCTCTTATGTTCAAGACTTTTCTTTAGGTGCCTTTTTTAGGAGCAAGATCTTGTGGTTCTCAGAAAGAGTACTTCCAGTGGAGGTGACCTAATTGTGGAATAATTCTCCTTAAGGACACTCACAGAGATCTTTTCTTTCTTTCCTTGTTCTAATCACTTCGGGCAACAAAATATTTTTTGAAAAACAAGCCTATTTTTCTTTCAGCATGTTTGATTAAATTATGGGATATTCCTTCTGCAAATTGTGTATTTTATTATATTGGCTTTAGCTTGCACACTACCTGAGTTATATATAGTTGAACAGATTTTTAAAATAAATAAAGAGGATTGTTCTGGGTGTAGTCAAGGATCAGAATTACGCAGTTGCACGGGTAGCTCAAGTATATCTAAGGGTACATCATGTCATGTCAAAGTAAATGACAGACTCATACCCAACCAGGATGGCACTAAGTGTCCTGGGAAAGAAATGGTAAACCTTGTCCTTCGGCACAAAGCCATGCTCACTGTAGGAAGCCAGCCTCTAAACTGCAAGGCCCAGCTTTACTGTACAAGCAACTACTGCAGTCTTTTCGAGTGGCATCATTTTTAGGAATACCAGTGAAGCAGTGCACAATCCAAGACATGTGCCCCACAATCCACTGCAACATCCTAGAGGACACTAAGGCACAAGTTTTGGGCTGTACCTGCTGAAAAGGCACACCAAAACCAAAGCCACGTAGATATGTCCTATTGAGATAAGAATGTATGCTAACAATTGCCACACTTGATCCTTTGACTACATGCTGTCTGAAATGACAGATACCCACACATGCAGAGACAAAGGGGTGGCACTGGGAGAAAAGCAATCAAAACTGCTGATCAGGCAATCTGGGCCAGGAACAGCAAGAGAGAGAACTGCCTGCCCAGTGGGACCCCATTTGAACTTAGGCAGATCATGAGAGGGAGGGCAAGAAGGGTTGCCTCAGTGCTTAGTTCTTGTGGCTCTTTCTTACATGCCCAGGGAAATGCCGATTGCCACTTTGGGGTCGGGAAGCAATACTTCTCCAGGCCAGTTTGGCCGGGCATCCTGGAGTGTTTTTTTTTTTTGTCATCTTCTGGGTGTGGAAAAGCAGGTGCCGGGGGGGGGGAGGGGGGGAATT